TCTCAACAGTACAAAAGAAATTTCTGTAATTTTTCTGATAGGAAAAGCACTTCAAAGGTAAACCTCCCAGCCACTTTGATTTCACTGGGTCTACTGTAAATATGTCTAAGCTATTTCACAGCTGTGGGGCTCTTGATAAATCTAGCCCATGTCAGTGCTACAAATTATTCCTCCCTCCCTCCTGTTGCACAATCTGGGCAAGAACTATACTTCTTACTTTCATTTTCAAAGATATAGCTTATTTTGAAATTAAGATAATATTTGGTTCAAAACTCTGTTTAGTTTCACACAATTCATGAATTAATGAGATTTGTTATTGGTCATCCTCTAATTGCCAAATCACGATTTAGTACTGCATATGAACCAGCTATTATCTTTTTAGTTCTAGAATACAGAAGATAAATACTGTAGAAGACAGGATTACATTTCGTTTGTGCATTACTTCCTAATGGTTTTCAAGGATGGAGGATGTGCAGTAATCTGACCTGAAGGTTACCAAAGGTTATTTTGAGATAAATTAATAAAAGATGCCATATTTTGTCATTTTCATTGGTTCTACTGAGAAATTGCTTAGAAGTTTCAATCTAACATAGTGAACTTAGTGTATAGTTTCTACTATGTTTTGTCGCACTGCAAGATTGTAATGTTAAGAGAGAAATTAGTTTTGTAACTTCATCATGCAACCTTTTCCTTCCTAAAGTACAATCTTGCATTTCTGCAAGGCAAACCTGGAACTCTTTCCCATTGTTTGAATAATAACATCTTTGACCTTTCTCATACAAATATTTTGGATTAGATTTCTACAAAATCTCTATGATAGCTATATACATCTTGAAGGATGAACCAGATAATGGTTCATTGGTTGATGAAGAAATTTTGCTGAGAAATTATTTCTCTCTTTCATTAAGATTACACTGAGTCAATAAAAATTCAAATTTCGGTCATGACCACACTGTTAGGTAGTACCATGAACACAATTACTTTTTCTGTCTCTTTTTTTTACAAACTGGAAATCTGACTTACTAAAGATTTCCTACTTCCACTACAAGCTATACTTCCCACTTTCTGTGATTCACAGGATCAACCCAATCATACTATGCTTGATGCAATATACACTACAGTAAGGATTGGAAATGTTGCTTTAAGGATTGAAAATACGTAATTATTTACTTAATGGTATTTGTATAACTATAACTTTTTCCATTCTTTTCTTGCTTTACAATAATAAAATGTACATACAAAGCATATAAGCTGAGGGGTACAACATCACAACTGACAAAACATTTAGCAAGATTTAGTTTAGAGGAATGAAAAAGTATTCTGTAGTTTGGCACATAAATATATGAACCAAGAACCAACATTTTTAAATCCAACGTTCTGTAGATTGACTAGGCTGTGTTATGCTACCAATAACTTATTCCAATTATATTCATCTAATTTGGCAAAAAGGAAAATAGTTCTTTCTTAAAGATGGAATGACATACCTTCAATATACCTAAGTCTGGTTTATACAACATACTAGGCTACAATGTTCGTTTGATTTTCACTTAGCATGTGTGATCAGCTCTTTATAAATGATGGTTTATGGTTATATGAAACTACACAGTTTTTGTTTATTCATCACCTATGGTTAAAGAAGCTGCAGCTTACTGCAATCTGTAAATATCCTCCATTGGCAGATTTTCAGTTTATTTATTTATTTATTTAGGACATTTATGTGGCCAATATTTTATCAAACAATACTTTAACTGTCCTTTGAAATGATTGTTGTAACTGTTGGAGAATAGTGACTCTTTTACTAATTAAGCTTTTGTGTTGGAACATCAATCAGAGCTTTCTTCCAGATGCAAATATTAGGCGTGAGAAAGAGACCCAGATTGGGATCATAGTTGAGTAAACCATGAAATCCATCATTCCCCAATATTCCTTTTCCAGACTGTCCTTCCCCATGCATACTATTTACTTAAGAAATGCACACAAATTGTAATCCATGTAATTGTTAATATTATGTTTAATTGATTAGTCAATTGACCATATCAAAATTTAATTGATAAGATTCTAGGAGCACTGTGAATATTCCTGGACAAAGCTAACTTGAGTTATAATGTCCAAATATTTTGCTTTCACATTCCAAAGCATTGTTACCTCAGTTCCAGCTGTCAAAAAGTTATACATATTCATTGCATGACATATATTCCTTCTCCTTGAAATATTTAATAAAATCATATTGAACATTTGCAACTCTTGGAAGAAATAACAACTGAAAATGGAAGAACCACATATTTTAGTATGTGTTATTATTATATTACTATCCAAATCAGTAACCTATCCTATTCACTCTGACTTTATAATTTTGATAATGTTAAATAAATGATAGTTATACATTAAACATTAGATATTGAATTGCTATTAATTTTTGAGAGAAATATTTTACATTTCAGAAGACATGCAATGCAAGTATAATTAAAATTAGATTACATGCATTAAAATTAGATTACATACATTAAATAAATACTTTTCCTGCTTATATAAATGAAATTGAAATATTTGGTGTTTGCTAGATCTTGTTTATAATCCAAGTAAGGCTAAAAGGTTTGTAAACTAAAGCAGCCTTTTCCAGCCTGGACATCCTCCAGATGTGTGGACTATAATTATCACAGGATTTTCAGCACTGGAAATTGAAGAGCAAGACAGGATGGGAAAGGCTGGAACAAAAGTTTAAAAGATTTTCATTCCTTCACTTTTGCACACCATCTCATATTATTAAGTAGGTTTCCCAGACTCTTCAGAGAATCTAAGGATCTAGATTGGGGCTTGCTAGAAAAAAGAGGATAAAATCATACCTTTCATGAATTTTGTGACTTTCTTTACAATTTGAAGACCTTCCTATAAAGACCTATATGGCTTGGCTTGAGGTACCTTCAGGACCACTTCTTCCAAGTGAAATTGAACTGTCTAATACATTATTCAATAGATTTATTAATAATAATAGCTCATTTTCAGAAAGCAAGGGAAACCTGTAAACTTTTTTTTTTTTTTTAATGCTGGTTCATATCTTACAGAATAACTTATACCTGAGGCCAGGTTGATACCAATCCTGACAGTTTTTGAAAAGATAACCTGTTATCTGACCCCCATTAAAGTGATGATAAATTTTGACATCCATGTTTGTGGGAGATGAGTTTCAACATTTGCTTTTAATGTTGCTAGATGGTACATATGGAAAATACTGGTTTACAAATATAACTTTGACCCATGTAGCCATGAAAATCTTATCGAATAATCCCATTTTAAAAATAGTATCTACTTTTTTTTAATAAACTCTACATCTCACATTATCATTACTTTGAATCAGTTCTGAGGAACCTTTTTTAAAACTTTTGCAGATTTTTTTTAACGACATTTCATCATGAATCCAGCATGGTAATATATTCTTGACAGTATACTCAGTTTAAGCCCTTTTTAAAAAAAATTATTTTGGCCCAGATCTTCTGAAGTTCCACAATGAAACATTATCAGTGGCTCTTCAGCCAATAACCCTTTTTTATATTCTTTGTTGGAAGTTGAATGAATTTACATGAACTGTTCTGGTAAATCAATGGAGGATTGCATTAAACTATGTGAAATTACTTTCTTATGATATTCAAATGATTATAGTCATACACATAAAAAATACTTCATGTATAGTAGATGCATCAGAGAATGTTCAGTAACAGTTGGTTACAATCACCCTGCTGTTGGAGACACAGCTCAGAAGATGGAAAATTAATCCATATGATTTGGTCTTATCCTGTTATTGTTGCATTTTAGGCTTACATAAAAAGATTGCTAATATGATTCTGGATCAAATACTATATGTTATGGATGAATATGTTCTCCATGGTATTTGGACTCTATCAAGATACCAAGAATTGTGGATTTGGGAGGCAGAAGTTGGCTAAAACAATTGTTATACCACAGAGAGAGAGATAAACATCTGTGTGCAGCAAGGAATTGCTGATATCTCTAGTTTGTCAACATTTTTATGTATTTTCCAATGCACTAGAGATCCTGTATTGTTGTTTTTAATGATTTTTTAAATCCTTTGTACACCACCTTTTGGAAACCTAATTTCCATTTCTACTTCCTTATAAACTGAATAGATAAAATACAATTTTGAGTTAGTTTTTTTTGACAACTACAGGGAAGTAGATTTTTATTTATTTAAGTAATATAGTTAAAGTTGTTGGAGTTCTGTTTATAACAAATTCCAGGCTTTCTATTAAGATTCTATCAATTTAATACTATGTATGTATCAGTGTTTTTCTTTGGTGATTATTTAATATGGTTAAATAAAAATTAGAAGGCTATAATATAGGCTGGGATCATATATCATATGAAACCATAATAGAGCTTAGTGCAGTTTATGAATCTAGCCATTGTGATTTATTCAATAAACCCAACCACTTCTTATTGCAATGAATGAAGCCAAGTAACATGAATTTAAATGCTAGTTTAATCAATTAGTTAACATTTAATGCTTATTACAATGGTATATGCATACTATGTGATTCAGCTGGCTTTAGAATCTGGCGAGAAGAATATATTAGCCTGTGACAACAAAATATATATGGAATCTGGTAGCATTCACAAGACTAACTTTATTGCAACATGAGTAGCAACACACTTCATCAGATGGATGTCTGTGGCAGCTTTGGTGAGATTTATGGATTTGTACTCCATACAGCTAAACTTGGTGCTTTTGATAGTGGAGAATAGATAGGTTGTTGTTGGTGGTGGTGGTGGTGAGGAGTTATGTAAATCTGTGGCAACAAAACAGATGCAGAATCTGGTAGGGCCTTCAAGACTACTGTTCTAATGAAATGAATGCTAATATTCCAGTAAAAGTGGCTAGTTTTGAAGATGTTACCAGATTCTGTATCTATCTAGAATCTGCTATTAGTAGTTCAAAGTTCAAAGGCAGAGTAATGAAATTCAAGAACAAAGTTATTTTTAAAATTGTTTTTTAATGAAAAAAATACCATGTGAATAGAATGGCAGTATAACAAAGACATTTTAGCTGATTCAAGGAAAACAGGTATCTGGAGAAAAAGGAGGAAATGCAACATTTTAAATATTTATTGATGATCAGCCATTTCTTCTAGTAAGTTCATCAAAATATGGATATAAGACTAAACCCTTCTTTCATCACAAACCTAAACATATTACCAAAGAGAAAATCCCAGCCTGAATTTACTTCCAAGTGATGTGTTTGGGATTGGAATTCCAATAGACAATCATGTAATATAATTATTCACCACTGTAATATTTCTGTGTTGGTTTTCTATTTTTTTGTATAAATAATTTCTACATTCCTGATCCTAGCTTGTATACTTAAAAGTAAGTAATATTAATGGATTTAAAGTTATGTGCATTCAGAATCATATACATTTCTATACAAATTTTGGTTTGGACTAAGCCTCAGGCTATAATTCTGGAAGGCTATGAGGATGGAACACTTTTTCTGTATCTGTCATACACATATGTATCTTAGATACATATTATTTTCCTGCAGTTTCTAGAGCTCAGAACAATAGATTTCTATAAAATAAAACATGAACATGATTAAGTTTGCTGCTTTAAAGCAACGTAACTTTTAATATGCCCATGAACAAAATTACCAAGAATGTTTTCTTCAGTGAGTGTTTGCTGCCCATTCCAATGATGACTGAAATGCTACTTTGTGTAAATCACATTGATAATTCAGTTTTAGCACCAAATCAGAAGGAAACGGTTCACAGGCTGTGTTGACATACTTAACTGTTCATTGGTGGAAAAGACTCTTGGCAGTTTGGCAGGCACAGAAAGGAGGGAAAGGATTTTCAGAATTCTTTCTGTAAGCAGCTAATCTTTAGCCCTGTCTGACTATGTGAAGAAGGAAGATGGAATAAAGCCAGTGATTCAATTCACTTTTGCAATTCCTATTAATTTACTCCCATAGAAATGTATAATAATTCTTTTTCTGTACTGTTGAAATACGTGCATGTTTTTCCTGGTCTGATAAATAGTTTCAGAGCACAAGTTGGATGAGTGATCCTTACTTCTTCCAGCATCATAATCCTGATGACCTTGTGGTACTGAAGATACTTTTAGAAAAAAGAGAAATGGGGAACGAACTCATCCAGTTTGGTTTGAACATGCATTTTATTGGAAACAGGCTGATTCTTACTTTACTTACTTTACTTTAGTACTGTTTATAATTAGGGTGTAATCACAACCATATATTGTTGCAAATGTATATTGAGCTTTGTGTGTAGCACAAATGTTAATAGACTCAACTGCTTGTATAAAATCACAACTAAAAGACTCTGTACACTATTTAAAAATTTAAGGTGTCATACACAGAAAGGGTAACAATTTCAGTAGACTTTATTTCTAAAAATATGTATAGTAAGTAATTTTGTAACATTTTGAATTTGATGTCAAATATTAAGAAGTAAATCCTCAGGCCTTCATTTAGAAAGAATTGCTATGTTGTATAGCTGTGCTACAACTAATTTTCAAAACAATCGCCATTAACATCAACAGGACTTACTTTTAAGAAGTTTAGTAGTACAGGTAACATAGACCTGTCCCCTTACTGTATAAACACTGTACAAATTACCTTGTTAATTTATATTGAAATCCTATGAAAATCTATTCAGAATTAAAATTCTATTAAATACATTGGAGGTTACTACCAAGGAATTTGTCTATAATTTTTTAGCTGTAATTTGATGAAAGTGATTTAGGTACTATGTTGCTAACTTTTAAATGTTCTTCTATGTTTAAGTGCCTTTTTGCCTATCTTGACAGATAACAGACTGATTTTTCTCCCAGTTTTCTAAGTTCAAATTTAGAAGACAACATTGCTGCAGCATGTCCCATGTTAACATTTTTCCTGCCACATGTCTTAGTGTGATCCTCTCTCTAACACAGAGATGACTCACACCAGTTTCTAATGCACTTAAACCTTCTTAAAACTGAAAGAAATATCTTTAGAACAGAAACTTGATCCATTTGCATATATAATAGGGACTGATAAGCCTCTAACTATGCTACTTGAAATAAAATATCCAATATCCATATTTAGCTAGTGGCTGGAAAGCATTACATTAAATATAGATGCTTGTATAGTCTGCAAGTTTAAGTGCTTCAACTCTTTAGAAGGAATCTTTGAGACAGGGAAAGAAAAAAATCCATTTACCCAGCAGACCCAAGATTTGTATTCTTTATTGGCCCAGATATGTTCATTCAGGTTATGATGATCCCTGTCTCTTTTGATACTGTATTCTAAGCTTCTCCAGCTGTTCCACACATTGTGTCTGGGTCAACTTCAGTGTCCGATTCTCTTCCGTCAGGTCTGCATACTCCTTCGTTAACTGTGCAGCATCCCTGTTCTCTTTCTCAGCTTGATCTAGCCTAGTGATTAACTCTTTTCTGAAAAGAAAAACAAAAATTGTCTTTTATTTTCCAAGGTTAGTACTACAGATGAACACAGATACTTTGGCTTGGATCCAAAGATCCACGAATAAACAAAGAAAAAGGATAATTGCTTTCTGAAAACTCTTGTACACCAGTTAGTGGAAAACTTATGAACTGGGAATGCATCACACCTATTTATCTTAGAAAGGGTAAATAATTTTTACAGTAACTCTGGTGACACTTTTATTTAATCAAATTCTTTCCTGGGAAGTCTCACAACTGGTGTGTTCAGTACAGCAGTCAACATGTTCATCACGGTAACAAACCCATGCAGTATAATTTCACTAACAGCTGTAGGTAAATCTGAATTAAAAGGATAAAATAATAGATGTTTCATCATACATATATATGTGTGTACATTCTTTGTATAATCTCTTGATTTTTCCCTTTCACACACCCCTGCTGCAGTTGTTATTAATGGAAAGTAACTATGGATAGGTCTAAAGGGATGTATAAGTACTGGTTCTAGATACTATTTTTAATCAGTAACCGTGATTATAGATTGTATGGTAAATATTGGTAACAAATTACTCACTTGAAATTTAAGTGCTTAGCTTATACAAGTGTATATAGTATATATAGAAGGACAAAACTAAACATCTAGGGCTGAGTTTGCCCAAACTCTGATTTAGTGACACAGTGTTGTGCTTTGAATCAGCTGTAATAAGTAACTGATCAAGATGCTTGTCATAATGGGAACTGTTGCAGAATGATTACCCTAGTCCACAATTTCTTAGCTGACTGTTAATAATGGCTTCCTATGGAATATCAGTAGTGCTCTACATAACAATTTTGGTTATTATTTGCCCCCTAGAGAATATAGAACCATATTCTTTAACTGCCTCCAGGCAATTTTTTTTTTTTTTAATTTCCTCAGTCTTCCTGAGCATTTGGTCCACTCTTCAAGAAATTGGATTGTATCCATTGCCCGGGTTGTTTTTTCAATTTATGTCTATAGGCCAAAGTTTCCCACAATCAATAAACCTTTTCGGTTAAATACTTACAATAACTTTTTTTTATCCCTTGTAACTGTACACTTTCTATGGCACTCTTTAGCAGAAACCGAAACAAATAAAACAGGAGCTGAGTTTTTATTAGCTGTTACCAGTGCCAACCAATGGAAAAGAGAGGCAGAGGGGAGGCACTGGAATCCAGGCAGTCCTGTCCTATGTTTCTCCCAAGTCACTTGCTCCTTGACACAGAAAACCACTGAGAAAATTCATCTGCTGTGACTTCTTTTTTGCACTTTCCTGCAAATGAATTCACCTGTTTTGTATGTTTGCATGTGTGTGTGCGTGCACGTGCAAATAACTGGAGGATGCTATGTGTGTTTGAATCTGTGGTGCTGTACATGAGACATGAGGGAAGGAAGCATGCTGAATAAGCCTCCATCAGCATCTAACCAGGACTGTCTGTTCAACATGGCCTTTATTGCACGAAGATGCTTATTCCAGGGATACATTTTCTTGATCAAGGAGCAGGTTAGAAAGATGAAAAAACAAATTTACAGCTAAAAGGAGATTTCCAGTTATCTGAATCTAAAACAAAATTTGAAGTTGACCTGTGTAAACTACCTCTAGAGATCATCGGTTACATCCAACAACCATGAGAACAACAACTTCTAATACTAGCATGGTTAAATACATTTTATCACATATGCCTTATTTCTTTCAAATTTACTACACTGTGAATCAGTTCCCATAGCATACAAATTTATATTTGCTTATCAAAAAGAAACAAATTTTCATTAAGACTTTATCCCAAATATCTCCTGTCTTGGGTGAAAACTGGAGACAATCACATTGAACTTCACATTTTACTTTTAATGGTTTCTTCCAGATTTTTCAAACCTAATGCCCTCCAACTTCCCTAACATTTTCTTTCTAGGTTGAAGAAAGCTGTATGGAGGTTCATAAACATATTGAAGAAAGCTGGTTTCTCCATTAGTTAATTAATGTCCATGAATAGCTTTCTAATTTGCAAAAGCAAATCCAAGTTATTGGATGTAACATTTGCAATTTATTCTTAATGCTTTGAATGCCAGCATTTATCCAGATTTCTAAAACACTTTCAGAATTATTGCACTGTAAGTAAAATCAGGACAGGTGCTGTCTTGGCAGAAATATGAAACATTGGGAGAGTACACACCTATGTTAATGCAAGTCACATGTTCCAAGTATTCAAAGATAAAATACACTTAATTAAATCATCAAACCAGTTTCTAACTCAGTGACAAACTGTATTTTGTGAGATATGGGGAAAAAAAACTTACTTTCTTTCTTCAAGCAGTGCAATCTCCTTTTTGACTTCATAGTATTCTTCTGCTATTTGGCAGTGCTGTTTGAACACCTGCATAGATTCCTTTGAGTCATGGCAGGGAGGCAGGGGCTTCATGAACAAAAGGAAGGGAAAAAAAGCAGTCTGAGACTTTGTATTCAAATGAATCCTCAGAAATAGAATTTAAATGGGGATGTCATTTGAATTTGATATTTCTCTTGTGAAAAGGCTTACATTTTCCCTTCTCTCTGAAGAAAAATATATGTCATTTTTTTTCAGAAAAAAAGTAACCATCCTTCATTCAGAATAGCATTTTTGTGTCTCATTTATTTAATAAAACAAAGACTAAAATGAGAAGCAACACAATAACCAAAGCAGAAAAGAAAAGAAGAAAAAAGTAAAATAAAATAATGCACTAGAATCACACTTGACACTATTGCACAGACTTCTGTTTTCTAAGTAGTACTTAGTAATTTAGGATGTCAAATTAGTAATTTAGGGTGAACAATTGTGACTAAAAGTTCAATATGTGTTTTTTTTTTTGGAATATGTATTTAATTTAAAAAGCTAGCTCTCTTTCACTCTGTACTGCTATTTAGGCATGGCCATATTAGGCATACAGATACCAAATTATTCTTTGGTGCCATCCCATTTTAGGACACATCTATACTTTCTGTTTCGCTCATTGCCAGTATAGTATGGGCCACTCATTGCTTCTGGAGGGCAGGAATGGATAGCATCCATCTGTCCAGAGTCATTGAGATTTGGGCAGCATACAAGTTTAATAAATAATAATAATTAATAATAATAATCATTTTTTATTATCGTCTTCCACTCCTTCCCAGCCCACTGCAAATGCCCTCATGCTTGTATTTTGCAGCTGTGCTTCAAATGTGTTTTCTGACCTGAGCCATTTCAGAAGCAACAATTTATTCTGAAGTAGTTACAGGCCTAGCTCCCTTGACTATAGAGACTTCCAGTGACTGTTTGCTACCTTGTGCAACCATTTTGTCCTGGGCTTCCAGGCTGCTATGCTTTCAGCTGGTCAGCAGTTGCCATTTTTAGTTGATCCAACAATGGGCTATTAAGTCAGTAAGCTTTGCTCACCCTGTTTCTCACCCACTCTAGAAGCTCATGGCCCACTGAACCTTTTTAATACCCATTGGGCACTCTTTTAGTTTCTGCCCAGACTAGGTGAAGTGTTCTCCTTGTTCTTGCATCCCGTGCCCAATAGTTTCATTTTCCCCTGGTTTCGCAATAATAATAATAATAATAATAATAATAATAATAATAAT